AGAAGTTTAATCCTAAACAAAGTGAAAAAACAAATCCCTGGAAATTGCTCCTTTCTTTATTTCCCAGACAAGGTGGTTTGTATTTGACTCCTTAACTTACAACAACAATCATGTCTTTCCTGCTATATTTTCCATGGACTCGTAGTGAGAAGAATATCCCACAGTACTATGTGGGTAGAGAGAAATGTGCTAAGATTTAATGTCTATTTAATTCAAGCCTTTTGCAAAGTTTTCATGTGCAAAAAAAAAAAAAAGGAAGAAATTATTCACAGCCAAGTTCAGATTCTTGATTAAAAATTTAAATTCTCCTTCTTTATGCAAAGCAAAGTGAAACACTGAATTCTTTTTTTGGTGGGATCTAAAAAGGTATTTAAATGACATTTTTCAAGTTCACTGAAGAGTTGCATTGCTTTACCAGAAACACTCCCAAGTAAATCTCAAGGTTGTCAGCAACTGGCATGACAGACTGTTTCAAGGCTCTATAAATATCCTGGAGGAGTTCAGGCATAGGAACAGGAGTTGGAGAAATCCAACTCCTAAATAGAAAACAACTTTTGATACTCACAGAACTGCACAGTTGGGTTCAATGAAGCTTCAGGACACACTCCCAGCTCTGCTGCTGGGAATGACTGGTACCCAGGGAGACTTGTAATGGTTTTACCAGGCTTGGCATGAGGTTTCTTTAGGATACAGGTGAGGATTCCATGGATTGCTGAACCCACACAATCAGTCAGGTTGGAAAAACCCTCTGAGACCATCAAGTCCAAGCTGGGACCTAACACCACCATGTCAACTAGACCATGGCACTGAGTGACACCTCCAGGCTCTCCTCAAACCCCTCCAGGGATGGTGACTTCACCACCTCCCTGGAAAGCACATTCCAAGGTCCAATCAGGCCTAAATCAGTGATCTTCCCTTTTCCTTGTCCTACCCAACAGCACAGCCTGAGACAACAATGTCACATGGATTTAGCAAGGTGGGAGCAGAAAGAGGGAAAAGTTTTTCTAGAGATAATCCATGTGATCAACTTCCCTGGAGCACATCTGAACCTCAATCCCTCACTTACAGCCATCAGAGCATCATTCCTTGGGCTGGAATAGCAAAGAGCAGAAATTCCTGACTCAAATGTAATGCTATAATCCAGGAAAGAACTTTTCCAGGCAATCCATATACAAACTTACCCCTTGGCTTCCTTGAAACTGGATGACTGGTTTTGATGTCACAGCATCCTGCAAAAAAAAAAAAAAAAAGTAGGGAAAAAAATTACCTCAGAGAAAGGGAAAGCTTCAACATTCAGCACCAAATAAAATAAATATTCGGCTTCATTTTTCACCTCAATATTTGACTCTCATTTCTAAAAGGGAAAAGCTTCAGGAAAACATACAGAATTCCAAGTAAGAAAACACAAAAACTCCTGGAACTGTGGATTGTACCAAGAAAAGGGATCAAACATGAGGTTAGCAGAGGAAGAACAGCTCACCCAGGTGGGTGACACCGACCCCCACACAACCAGCTTAGCTTCCCTAAGTTCGGAGTTAAAAAATGGACACTTGAGGGGAAAATTGATTTCAATCCTCAGCCTGGGAAGAGGCAAAGGGCATTTTTTCCAAGAGAAAGCTGGCAGGGCCTTGGAAAAGCAAACTGCAGCTTGGTTGCAAAATCCTCTTGTTACTTTGCCTGTTTCAACAATTGGCTCTGCACTCAGATCTGAGCTCTAAACCCCCTGAAATCTGCTCAAACCCACTGGATTTCAGCCTTTTTTCCCCTCTGTGACAGCACTTTTTTGCTTTGCTGGGATTTTAGAGATCAGGAGTTGGAATCCCAACTCCCAACTGAGGTGTTAACTCCAGGGAAAGGAGTCCCATGCTAAGTTCTCAATCCTTTAAACTGTGGCTGTGTATGTTTTAGCTACTAAGTCACACAAAATATTCCAAGCCACACTCAAAGACAGGAATTGTGCTCCCCCAGGGCTCGTGGGATCCCACTGGGAAGAGCTAGAAGGATTTATAAATAGGTTGAAGTGTCTTTTAGAAGGGAAACCGTTGCCATGTACATACAGGAGACACATTCCAAAGAGAAAATCATTTAGGAGCTCAAATCCAAAATGTTTGGCTTGTCCTGTTTGGGTCACAGTGCTCACATCAACTTTCAATGGATCAGTTTCCAATGGATCAAGTCCCAGTGGATTACAGAGATATTAAACTGAGCAGCAAAGAGTTAAGCCTGAAACCCACAGTTTCTCATCTCTAAACCCTTTCCAAACACTTCCAGCCCAGGAGGGAACAAATTTCAGCCACAACACGATGAGATGAACACAAAACTGGATCAATTCACCAGCAAGAAAACATCCTTTTAGCCCAGATGAATGAGCTCAGCCCAAGACAGAGTCTGAACCTTTTAAGAGATCTGCATCACACCCAAGATCATCAGAGAGTTATTTATCACCATGAGCAAAGCAAGAACATGCTTGAAGCTGACAGCACTCCCTGTGTGCTGGATAAGAAGTTTTATAGACCCAAACCAACCTTTATAAAGCAACAATAAACACCATCCTGGTCCAGAGATCAGTGAATTCCTCGAGTGCCACGACACTACATACCACAGCACAGTGCTCATGGCCAGCCTGGCCAGCTCCTTGGTCACTGTGGCCAGAGAGGCATAGGAACAGATTTTTTGAGCTAACAAGTATTTGAAACATGAAAAAAATCTGGATTTCAAGAGAGGAAAAAAAAAATCTCCATGTGGATCTTGTAGAGCAAATTATGGATTTGGACAGTTTGTGTGATTCGTTTTGGGAAGTTGAGTGGAATAAAAAAGGGGTGAAAAGGATGGAAGGGGGAGAAGGAGGAGGAATATGAGTTCTGTTACACACAGCAGGATAAGCTTTAATGACAGAACTTAGAGAATCACCTCTAAGATCAGCAAGTCCAACCATTAACCAGTCACTGAATCCTAACTCCCCCAAATCTCTGAACAAACTGGTTGGAAGCCAAACGTGTGATCAGAGACTCACAAATGAATGTTCATGGGAGTCAAACTGCAAATCAGAGCTTTAGTTCCCCAAATTCAGCATTTCTAGGCTGCCAAGCTGTGCCTGGGGCTGCTGTGGTTTGTGCTCACTGCACAGGAGCAGCAGTGCTAGAACTCCCTGGCATGGGAGGGATCATAGGGAAGGGATGGAGTCACTGCACCATCCCAGTTCCCCTTTTTGGCAGGGAAAGGGAAGACTTTTGGCTTCTCATAGTGTGTTAAGGGGTTGGGATGGAGCTTAGAGATGATCCAGCCCCATCCCCCTGCCCTGAGCAGGGACATCTCCCACCAGACCAGGTTGCTCAAGGCTCATCCAACCTGGTATGAACAGTGACAGGGTTGGGGAAGCCACAGCCTCCCTGGGCAACCTGTGCCAGTGTCTTACCAGTCTCACAGGGAGGAATTCCTTCTTAAGATCTAACCTAAATTTGTCTATTTCTCCCCATTCCTCCTCACCCTGTCACTGCAATTCCTAACCAATTCCCTCTGGAGCTTCCCTGGAGCCCCTTCAGGTTGCTCTGAGGTCCCCACAGCAACACCATCCCTGCACCTACACACAACTTCCCTGATGGCCAATTCCTTGGCTTCAGGTCATCTGAGAATGCCCATGGAAGAAGACAACAAACACATGCACAGCCTCAATTAATTAAGGATATGAACCTCAGCACTTTGATTAGCTGAAATGAAATCCCTGCATGGACACCAGTCAGAATCAAAGCAAACAGGTGAACTGAGTGAAACCAAATGATCTGTGGATTGATATCTTCAGTTGGATTAACTTGCTTCGATGTTCTTGTATGGATAAAGCTCAGTTTTAAGGAGTTCTTGCTGCCATTTCTAGCATTCCTCTGTCATCTTCTAAAGAGTCACCCAATTCCTCCTCAGTGATGCCATGAACTTCCTGCATGAGCTTCCTGGAAATGTCATCTCACCCCATTTAGAGAGAACAAGTTCTTTTCCTCTTTGTCTTTCCAATTAAAACGAGTCACTTCCTCAGCCCTAGGACAGGCCCATGGGTCTGTCTGCCTTCCCCACAGCACATCAACTCCCAGGATTCAGGAAATCCCTGGATAATCCAGGCCGCTGCTGAAATCTCACTGTTGTGTCCACTCAGAGCCAACACAAGGCAGATTTGCCCAAGCAACACCTGCACCACCTCGTGCCCTTCCAGCTAACAAATTCCAGCCTTATCCTGAGACTTGTATTTAGGAACAGCTCCTGGAAGCTGATGAAAGACAAATCCAAGCAAGAAACCAGAGTTCAAGGCCTTCACAGCTGTCAGATCCACAGGTGTGGAACTGCTGCAGGTACCAGATGTTCCTCTCCGTGGCCAACGCGCTCGTCCGGAACAGGGACAGAGGACAGAGAGGTCCCAGCAGAAGGAGCACAATTCCTGGGATGTGTGGGCTCAGGGAACACAGCTGCCACCAAGAACCACCAGTTTCCAGGCCAGGAGACAGTGAAGAACCCAAGGAGAAGGAGCACAACTCCTGGGGTGTGGGGCCAAGAAAAAGCAGCTGCCACTGAAAACCACCAATTTCTACCTCATGAGACACTGAAGAGACCCAAGGAGAAGGAGCACAACTCCTGGGGGGTGGGACCAAGGAAAAGCAGCTGCCACAAAGAACCAGTTTCTACCCCATGAGACAGTGAAGAACCCAAGGAGAAGGAGCACAACTCCTGGGGGGTGTGGGACCAAGGAAAAGCAGCTGCCACTGAAAACCACCAGTTTCCAGCCCATGAGAGGGAGCAAAGCTCCTTCAAACACACCTAAGCCACAGTCATTCCAGTCCTGCTCTGCTATTGTTCCAGCCCAAGGCTTCCTGAGGCAGGCCTGGGAGGTGGGATCATTCCAGCAGCTCTGCTGGCTGCCAGGCCCCACCAGGAACTGCGTCAGGTTTCCTCCTGGCTCCCCAGAACAGCTAATGAGCTGCTGGACAAACCTTCCTACAGCCCCAAAGCTCTGCAGGAATAACTTCCAAAGGGACAGCCAAACCACAGGTGCAAGGCTGTGCTTATCTGAGACTGACCCAACCTGGAACTGGAGCTTCACCCTCACCACCTGAGGAGCCTGGAGAGATCCAAGCATTTCACTCCATAAAACTGCACCAATTTCCTATGTGGAAAGAGCACTTCCATGTTTCCATACCCAGTTCCTTGCCTTCCACAGCTCCTGCTGTATCCTATGGTGGAGAAAGAAGGAGCCACTTGTCAAACACTGAATCTCTGGGATGCCAACACAGCTCAAACCTCACAGACCCAAGTGGTGTTTGTCAAATGCTTCTCCAAACATCATAATCTTATTTCCAAAGTCACGAGATGAAACAAAAAAACCAACCCAAAACTTATCCCCAAAGCTCCCACAAGATATTTGGCTTTTATTATCACTGTGTTATGCTCATCCTTGAGTTTCCTCAGGCTAGAGGATGGCAAGAAACACTTAGCAGAGACTCTGAAGAGCAACACAAAGAGCTCCTCACACTCAAATACTCCAATCTGGCACGTGGAAAGCTGAGTAAAGAGTAGGAAGAGCAAGAAAATGTCAATAAACCAGAGAAGAATTGAATGTTAAACTAATAAAACACTTTATCAGGGATGATTGAAGCTGCCATGAGGTTTTCAAAGTGTTAAGTGGAAGAACTGGATGGGATGTTCCTACCCAGGATGAGAAAGAAAGGCCTTTGGAGATCCTCAGGTCAATAAGCAGCTGGAAACCTCTGTGTTTCTTCAGGGAAATGGAGATAATTAAAGATTATGTTGTTTTGGGAAGTTGTGTAGCGCATTTACTGGAATGGATACTGCAGGCAGAGCTGTATGGAAAATATTTGCCTAAACTTAGTCTTGGTCTGTTTGTTTTGTTGAATGTTCAGAGCGAAAAATGCCCCAAGTGCAAGGGAAAATGTACCTTCATTTCTGTAGGAACGAGGGGATTCTTCACAGAATTTCAAGCTTCTTGCAAACAATTCCAACTAGCAGCAAGAATTCCAATAAATATCCAAGGAAACTCTAAAATCCTGTGAACCCCAAGGCTGGCACCAATATTTTGCACCATCATGTGCAACTCCAGGTGAAAGGAGTGTCCAGGTGGAAGTGCTGCAGCTCAGAACTCAGTTACACACAGGAGAACAAACAGAGATGACTTAACACACACCAATTTCTGACTCTCCAACGCTCCAAACTCCAAGTTCCTCTTTAATCCTCTGCTTAGGACTCGTTTCTGTTTCTTTTGCCCACACAGCAGGATCCAAATATAGGCAAACTCCCTGCCCCACTTCCTCTGGTTTCTCAGCACAACTGGGCCAAGGGTGGGCTAAAAGGGTCAGATCCCAATCCAGGAGGATTCCCAGTGTGAGCAGACTTGGATATCTAAGGAAATAACCTCAAGATTACAACTTTCCACTTTTTTTTTTTTTTTTACTTTAAACACACCACACAGACCTTGCCAGGAGCCAAAGCCAATCTATCCTATGTGTCTCTGTCCCAGCCTCACAGGAGACACCTCCGAGTCCCTGAGTTCATTAGCAGCAAGAAATATCAATCCCAAAGGTAAAAAAATACCCTGGAATAGTCTCACAACTTCAAGTGAGTCCGTGTGAAGTTTCTTGGCAGTTAATTAGCCAAAGTTGGCCCAGGAGAGCCACTGCACGTTAGGGAGACACAAAAGCTTCTCCCAAGACATTCCGCTATTCCAAGGCTTCTACTTCTACCAGAAGCACAGCAGGAAAACCCACCCGAATCTTCCTTTTTCTGTCACATCTATGACTTCTGGAATTCAAACATCACCTCATTTGCACTATCATTGCCATCTACAATCTCAGGTCTCACCAGGATCCATTGGAAGCTGAGGGCAAGGATGGATGGGATCGAGAAAATTACAGTTCTACTATGCCAAACTCATGGGAAGAGCCTTGGAAAGCCCATGGAAATCCACCACTGGTGCCAACTGCCCAGGGGAGAGGCTTTGGGACCCTGTGTCCTTCCAGGGATGCAGATGGGCCCTGCCAACCCAGGGAGCAGCAGCAGTGCAGCTCTGTGGGGTGTGACAGCAGCTCCTGGGGCAGCAATCCCAAAATTATCCAACCTCTGCTCCCTCCTCCTCTCTGGATTAGCCCATTCAACACCTCCAGGAGCAAAGTGGTGTCCAAAACTAGTCCCATATCTGCCTGCTGGGCCCAGTCCCTCATCTTCCACCCTATTTTCCACTCCCCAACATTATCTGGGGCAGAAATGAGTCCTCAAGCTCTTCATACAAGTAACTTTTAAAAGCTGCTTTAGGTTTAAGAGCTAAAGACTCACCAATTACTCTGTAGGTTGGGTTTATTATCATTTTTTGCCTAATATGCATTAATGGACACATATTATCACTGCAAATTAAAGCACCTCCAAATCCTGCCCAGAAGTGGAAGCAGCAATAAAATGCTCTGAAGTTTTTTTTCTGTCAGCTAAAATGCTACACATTTAAAAGTTTTTAATTGCTAAACTGCAAAAGATCCATGGAGTTCCTTGGTTCTAATGACATCCTTTGAGTTGGTACAGCCCAAGTGTTGCTTCCTCAGGAGTTGAACTTTTTAAGGTCAAAAATCAAGATGTAAGATGGAAAATAAGGAGGTTAAAAGTGTCAGCTCAGAAAAAAAACCAAGTTGACACTAGTGAAAGTCTTGGTTAAGTGACAGAATTCACCATTCCCAACTCCTTAGGGAGGAAACATCATGAAGAAACTTGGACATCATTCCACATTTGAGCATCTGAGATATTCTCCTGCCTGAAATACAGCAAAACTCTACCTTTGAGTAAGTTTAGAGAACAAGACACATGATCAAGTTCAAAAAAACAAGCTGTAGCCTACTGGAAATGCTTTGTGCTGCCCTGCAAAGCAGAAAGGCAGGCCCTAAATGGACAATAGCTTGGATCAGCAAAGCAGAGAGCAATTAAACTCCAGTGTCATCAAGATGTCACCCCACAGGCACGAGAGCTGAGCCAGCCGTGCAGCCTGTTCCCTCACGCATG